ATAAGATATGCATTCGTTAGTGGTTATGATAACGAAATTGAATTGAGTTTTATAATTATGTTCGTCCATTCGCTTATTAAGACGTCTGACCATACTTCTCTGGGACCATCATTTCATAATTGAAAACTTAAACCAACATGAAAATCGAAAACACAATTAAAAAGAACAACTCTAACTGTAAATAGCGTCTGAAAATAATGCAAGATCACTTTATAAAAACAAAAACCAACACTTCACAACAACAAATACGAAAATGGCCATAATATGCTGACCGTATTCAAATATAACTACCTGCCGTGATGACTCTGTGTAAGCAACTTACACAATGTTTGAAATAGCACGACCAAAATCCTTGAAAAAGACTAAAAGATTAACCGAAAGGAGTTAAAAGGGATAATCATTTGAACAATTTGTACATGTATATCCCAACGATTCTGAGAAACCCTCTAGGATGATGAATCGAGGCATAATGACGCCATGACAAGTGATCACTCCAAACACCTTCGTAATCACGATTAGACCATTCGAACTATTTCCGAATCCACTGCATTGTCCTCACATTGGCACCCAGACACTCTGAAATGTTCGTATCGGAGCTTCCGGTCGAATGCCAAACAGTACAGCATACTGTTTCCAAATTCCTGGCGGAGTGAATTGCGTCATTATACGTTTTTTTTTTTCCTACAAAAGGTGCCCAACTGACCCTACAATAACTTAAAATTGACAAAATCAAAAACAAACAACGCACATGCGCGAAATTAAAAATATAAAATGTTAACAATTTACTCAACGCTCTCTCTCTCTCTCTCTCTCTCTCTCTCTCTCTATATATATATATATATATATATATATATATATATATATATATATATATATATGTGTGTGTGTGTGTGTGTGTGTGTGTTTGTGTGTGTGTAAATATATATAGAAAATAGGAAAGAACTCGTTAGGTAAATAATCCAAAGTTCTTTAGTATTTTGTTATTATTTTAAAAAACAGTGCTCGATACAAAAAGTAGAGCGTAAATATAATTGTTTATTTAAAAATACGTAGCGTTGGCACCATATTTAAAAAAAAATATATATATATATATATATATATATATATATATATATATATATATATATATATATATATATAAGGTTTATTTCTGCTGCAAGAATTCTCGCAAACATGTTTTTTCTTAAAATAGACAAATTCTGTCTAACAATCATTTTAATAAATCTTTAAAAATTTCCGAATAAGTTTTTTGTTTTATCGGGAAATTTTCCAAAATTCATATCAACGTTTATTTTATAATTTTCTTCCCAAGTACCGTGGAGTGATAATACATATCGTTTTCAAGAATTGTTCTCTGTGTAGTCACGCAATTGGTGTTTGATTCCAATGTTCTCACGTTTGATGAAATCATTTTCAGCTCACATATTTTGACGTCATATAAACGGTCAAACTGAATTTTTTTTTGTGTATGAGTGTGCGTGTTTTAAACATACTTCAATATATATACATATATATATATATATATATATATATATATATATATATATATATATATATATATATATATACATGCACACACAAATAAAGACTTATACACACAGAAGAAAACAGACTTAAATAGAGAGAACGTCATTTTACCTTTAGGAAATCCTTTCGGCCAACACTTTATCAAAAGGTGAACGTTGGCACACAGAAAAAGTAATCAATGACACCTTTGTAAATAGTGAATGAGAAGGGAAAATTGAAACACTATTAAAATAGATATTAATTGTAATCAAATTGACAAATATATGAAGAAAAATATACAGAAAAAACAAACAAAAATCTTAATATGCAATTATGCTGTATTAATGTTAATATAAAGTCAACGTCGGACGTTTCGGTCTATTTTAGACCATCATCAGGACATTTTCATTTAAACATAATTAACATTAGAACATATAAAAATTCAACACGAAAAGACGATAGACATAAAAAAAATATAAGAATCTATTGATCAAGTAAGGAAAGGATTTATTATCGAACTGTTTTTGAAATTGTTCCATCGTTCTGATATTTTGAAATCATTTTTTTATTTGCTTTGTAACGTGGAGGACTTCAAGCTTGTATGAAGATATACGAACCTATTGATCTCTGCGTATTCCTATATCAACGGAAGGGATTTCTTGAACTGTTTATATAAAATAGTTCAATCGACTTTTTTAATATTTTAATATTTGGAAATCATCTTCGAATACGTTTTCACAACATCGCCCACGTGACGCTGATCTTATATAAAAATTTCACTTATCTGTTTGGATTAGTTGTGCTCTTATGTCCATCGTCTTTTCCTGTATGAATTTTTATTTGTTCTAATGTTAATTATGTTTAAATGAAAATGTCCTGAAGATGGTCTAAAATTGACCGAAACGTCCGACGTTGACTTTATATTAACATTAATACAGCATAATTGCATATTAAGATTTTTTTTTCTGTATATTTTTCTTCATACTGTCGGATCTATATCCATATATTTGCTTACATACAAATATATATAGATACATTATATATATATATATATATATATATATATGTGTGTGTGTGTGTGTGTGTGTGTGTGTGTGTGTGTGTGTGAAATACACACACACGTGTTGTGTATTTCAGATTTGAAATTTGAGGTCTACAATTAGCGTTTGCTTCGTGGAGTACAAAATTTGATGCCGGCATTCAATAGAAACATCGGGCCAATATTCTATAACGAGGTCTCCAAAAAGAAACACTCAAGAATTATGAAACAAAAACAAAGATCGGTAATTGAAATGAATCCAGTGATGACACATGACCTAAATCTCTCATAAAAATTCAGAATGGTGAATTAATAAACACTAAACACTTTAAGTACCTCGCTATATGAATCAGTGAATAACACGTTTAATATATGTAGGAGATGAAGAAATAGAATATACAATAGACTGGGCTAAAGTTAGTTTTTTTTCAAACACTTCAAGATGCAACAAAACAATCACTATAAAAGTTAAAAGGTTGCATGTTGATGTGTATTATATGTGGGTACGTATTCCTATTTAAATAATCAATTAAGAAGCTTACAAAACGTTTTTTTCTACGTTAGACCATTTATATTTTTTATGATGACTATAGTAAACGAAAGTTCTCAATGTCTTTTGGATATGTCCATTTTCTTTTCCGGGTATAGAAGAAAGTTTTTAGGAAGTCTAAAGTAAGGACATATCCGTTCTTCTATATGGCAAAGCCTGCTGAGCAGTCTCATCGCAGATGAAGAAGGATTACATCCGACAGATTGTTTAATTTATTTGTTTAAACCTTATTTTTCTAAAGTGCATACTTGCATTTGAGCAGATAATCTGCTTTTATTCATTTATTTATTGAAAAGTAAATTTGTATATTTTCATCTTAACGATCTGAATATTAGAGAAATCTTGTAAGAAAATATGCGTCCTCCAGCAGGATTCGAACCTGCGTTCCCTAGGGGAAACTGTTATTAGATCTGATATACATTACGTCGGACCCTGGCTAAACAAAAGCTCTGGATATATATATATATATATAAATATATATATATATATATATATATATATATATATATATATATATATATATATATATATATATATATATATATATATATATATATATATATATATATATATATATATATATATATATATATATATATATGGATATGACCAAATAAGAAACGTTTAGAAATTTAAAGTGTTTTCTCTTTCATTTATGCTTCATCAGAATTTTTGGGAAATGAATTGTAGAGAGAATGTATCGTTTCTTTTGAATTTTCTGTTATTTGATTTCATTGGTGACGAGTTTTTTTGTTTGTTTTTTTTTTGTGTGCATGTGTTTTCATCTCTCTCTCTCTCTCTCTCTATATATATATATATATATATATATATATATATATATATATATATGTGTGTGTGTGTGTGTGTGTGTGTGTGTGTGAAGTGATGTGTTTGTTTAGTACAACTAAGAAATGAAAAAATTTAAATATATTTCCTCTCATCTGTTTGATTTTTTGTCTTATTTTTTTTTTATTTCTTTTTTCTCTATGCTTTCTTTATTCGTTGGTTTTATAAAGATGTTCATGAGTTCTAACAAAATAATTATCTTAATGTTTGCGAACCAAGCCCAATATCAGATAATAAATACTGATTGCCAAACAAAAAAAAAAAAAAATCAAATAGAATAAACAAAAAGAAAACACGTCTTTTCTCTTTTGTTTTACTTGATCTTTCTTTTCTTTCTTTTATTTAATAATGCAGAAACGCTGGCACTCTTTTGCCAAACTCTGTGTGCCTGCGCGTTTAATTGAGATTATAAGCGTGCTCCTTGCTTTAACTCTGTCTGCTCGTGTGAGTGAGACATATGCGTGAGGTCCGTACGTTACATTATATAGTTAAGCGTGCCGTAACGCCCCAACAACGAAAAGGCAGATAAGATCGGAGATACCCCGAGGCTAAAGTTTAATTTTGGAGGGCTTTAAACGATATGCCTCCTCGCACCATGAAATGGTCGATGCTGTGAATTTAAAGACATTATCAAGTTATCCTCTGATGCTGATAAAGCAGGCTTTTTCTAAGGTGGTGAGCCATTTTATGCCATTTGGCATTTCCTCTTTTTTCTCTTTCTCTCTCATTTTTCCCTCCTTCATTGGCGACAAATTATCTTATCTCATCTTATCTTTTCAGGAGGTGGTAATTGAGGTTTAGGTAATGAAATGCTCATAAAATAAGGCTTGTACATGGAATTATCAAATTTGATAGCTTGTTAAACAAACACTGCCTTAGTAAATGTTTACTAGGGCAGACAAGAAGCGACTAATGAGTGTTTGATGACTATGAAGTTTGTTTTCATGTGAAATACGCAGATGAAGTGATAAGGCTGGCAGAGAGGATGACAATGATAAAGGGAGTGGTTCACAGAAGAGAGATAATGACTAGAGAGTGCATGAATTTTATGTAATTTTTTTATGAGGGATGAAAGAAAGAAAGTAAGAGGAGTAAAAAAGAAAGAAAGTAAGAGGAGTAAAAAAGAAAGAAAGAAAGAAAAAAGAAAGAAAGAAAGAAAAAAAAGAAGAAAAGCGGAATAAAAAGAAAGAAAGAAAAAGAAAAAAGAGGTATAAAAGAAAGAAGAAACAGGGCTTTTGAAAAAGTAAAAGAAAAGAAAAAAGAAACAATGATGAATAAAAAGAAAAAAGAAAAGAAAGAAGGGACGAGGAATAAAAAGAAAAAAAAAGGAAAATAGAAAGAAAAAAGAAACAAACAAAATTGAATAAAAATGAAAAGAATTCGAAAATGAAAGAATTCGAAAACGTCAAACGAATTACTGAAGATGGAATAAAAAATAAAAATAAAGAAAATTCGAAGGAGAAAACAAAAATTTTCCTGAAAGGGAAGAAAAAGATAATCAAAATAAAAAAAATGTAAATAGTGATTTTAAATGTTTACAATATATACATATCTTTTTATAGAAGAAGAGTGAATGGAATATGAAAAGAAAAACTTACATATATAGAAAGAAACAAACAAAAATAAAAACGAATGAGACACGAAAATAATCCATTAAAAAAAAAAGAAAATAATATAAAAATATGAAAAAAGCAGAGAGAATTTCATAGTGAATGAATGGAACAAAAATAAAAATTTGTTCAAAACCATATAACGAAGCCAACACAAAATAAATGAAAAGAAAGAAAAAAAAAAGTAATTGGAATAAAATGAAATGGAAAAATAAAGCAAGAAATAAATTGATTTTTTTCTAATGGGAAACAAAATGAAAGATAGCCGACGTAAAAGTTTAAAAGAATAATGATTCTAAAACTTAGTGATTTTAAAATTTAATAGGTGAAGAATGAATGGACAATGAGATGGACACTTATATTTTAGAAAGAAAGAAAGAAAGAAAGAAAGAAAGAAAGAAAGGAAACGAAATAAAAAATGAAACAAAAAGAAAATGATACGAAAGAAAGAATGAAAAAAATGCCGAAGAAATAAAAAAAAAATGAAAAAAAAGAGAAAAATCTGAATAAGAAATAAAAGAAAAAGAAAATAGAAAGAAAGAAAAATAAAAACAAAGAAATAAAGAATTAAAGAGAGAGGATTCAAATGTCAAAGAAAATAAACAGAAAATGAAAACAGAAAGAAAGAAAGAAAGAAAGAAAGAAAGAAAGAAAGAAAGAAAGAAAGAAAGAAAGAAAGAATGATTGACAGGGGAGTAAAAAGTGAAAGAAAAGAAAAAATGAAAATAGGAAAAAGAAAGAGAGAGGATTTAAATGTCAAAGAAAATAAACAGAAAATGAAGAAAGAAAGAAAGAAAGAAAGAAAGAAAGAATGATCGACAGCGGAGTAAAAAGTGAAAGAATAAAAAATGAAAATAGGAAAAAGAAAGAAAGAAAGGAAATGGAAAATAAATAAATGATAAAAAGTAAAGCAAAAGCGAAATAGAAAATAAATGATTTTTTTTTCTAAAAGAAGAGAAAAAACAGAGTAAAATATTTTTAAATCTTTAGGGATTTTAATATTTAGAGAAGTTTTAAAATTTATAGTTGAAAAACGAATGTTATGTCAGAAGGACACATACATTTTACAAAGAAAGAAAGAAAGAAAGAAAGAAAGAAAGAAAGAAAGAAAGAAAGAAAAGAAAGATAGAAAAGAAAGAAAGAACGAATACAAACAACCAAAACAAACAATGGCTGTTATTGTGTTAGCCAACGATGCCTGGCAAAAGATTCAAGATATTGACATAGATTAGCGATAATGTTGTTAAGCGAATGAACAGCTCACAGATAATATCTCTTCAGTTCTTTAATCCGAAGCTTGTCAACACTGTCAATATCTCTTCATTTCTAACAACTTTTAATAATTCAAGATAATTAATTTTTAATAATAAGATTATATTTTTCAGAAAAGGAATAGTCTTTGCCATCTCCGACTTCGGAAAGAAAAATACGAATCTGTTTATAAGGATGAAAAATGTGGACACTTGGCGACCATCATGTTTAGCGACCAAGTCGTTGAAATGGAACCTTGTCGTTAAGTGAGAAGCGACTATCTTTTTATTTTAACTCTTTCGATGCGGGTCGCTTCACTGATGGCAAGATTATTGAATTTCAAATCTAAATTGTTTACCCATTTAAAATACTACAATTATTAGAAACTATATTGTTATGAATAATCAAGAGTGGTCTCCCCCTGTTTCGTTACTCTCCTCTTTAAGGAGCTACTTCTGTTTACTCGGATTATAAAAGGACACTATACACGAACCTTGTATTCTCAGTTGAATAAAGCTTTCTTAAAGCGTATACCTGCGTATTTTGTCATTACACACACACACACACACACACACACACACACACACATATATATATATATATATATAAATTAAACCTAAAGAGCCTGATAAACCTACCAAGGTTTCACCTATGCACCCTGACGACCAATTGGGTACTTTGATATGTAAATAAACAGAGCAATACCCAAGGGAAGAAAAGGTGCAAAAGAAAGAACAGAGAACATATACGTCAGTCGAAGACAATCGTCTAGCATCCAAGTTCAGAGTCCAAAGAAAAAAACCGAGTAAGTAAAATAACTAAGTGCTCAATACGCTAAGTAGAGTAAACTTGATTAAACCTAAAGAGTCAGATAAACCTACGTGGACGAGTATAATTTCTTATATTTATAAGATTATTACTATATTATATATATATATATATATATATATATATATATATATATATATATATATATATATATATATCATTCCAAGGAAGGCGGGGGGTGTCAATAGCAGGCAGAGGGTTATAGTTGGTGAAAATGAAAGAAAAGTATATAAAAGTGTATAGAAGGGATTGAGGAAAGAACGGAGATCAAGACAACAGAAGTTGGCGATTGACGCTGCATTTAAATTTTTGAATATTGTAATTATCAGGGAAGCAAGTAAGTGAAAGGGAGTTCCACTGTCGGGAAGTGCGAGGAAAGAAACTGTTGGAGTAGAAGTGGCAGTTGCATTTAGCTATTTCAACATTAAAAGGGTGGGGCCTAGATGCCCGCTTAAATGCATGTAGTTGGAGGCAAAGTGGAAGATAGCTCGTTACGATATTTTCCTGTTATCCAGTTGTTTTTGTCAAAAAGAAACGGTAATTAACCAAAGTGACACAGATTTTCATTTGAAATTCAGTTAAATTTTGTGTGTATGAACATGAATATTTTGATTCAATGACGTACTTAGAATATTTCTCCAAAATTTAAGAAAACAATGTGAAGCGTTATTTGCTCAATCTGCATAAGGTAGCCCTTAAGCACTGTTATTTACTGCTTAGGGAGTTGTTTGCCTGTTGGACTTTTCTTTTTTTGTGTTTTGTTTCGAGAGACCACTACAGTCTTAACCTCTTCAAGTGTAGGGTCAACCGTTATCTAACCTAAATATCCTCATAATATGCAACCCTTGCGTCCTCCCTGTTCGCCTTTATTTAGTAACCCTCTACTTTGAGTACCTCTCGGGCCTTTATTGGATGAAAATAGATTTTTTTTAAAAAATAAAGTAAGGTGTTCTATAGTGTTTCTGCAATTTTTTTATTTTACTTTATGTATGTGTGTGTGAATATATGTGTGTGTGTTACTTTGTGTTGCATAGCTGTAATTATTTTAATTGATCTTCCTACATCAAATAGGCAATGAATTTCCACATCTCTGGTGTCCCCAAATTTTTCTACCATTATTTTTTTTTTATTTATTTACTGACGTCGTCAATCCACAACTACCCTTAATTTTAAACATTCTCTTTCAAAAGAAACTAACAGAAGTAGTAGCAGAACCATGTTTTTTTTTGTTTTTTTTGCAGGCAGTGATAATTAAATTCTGTTGTTAGCAAACCCTGTTACTAATTAATCCAAAATAATTAACTCTTATTTAAGAAGGGAACAAAAACAGATCCACTGATTGAAAAAAATTATCTGTTAACTTTTTGTCTTTTTTTTAAATTAGTAATCAAAATAATTATGCCAACTTAAAAATACAATATTCGGATTTTTTTTAATTAACAAGCGAATTTTAAAATTCTTTACTGTTTCTTCTTTTATATGCCGTGTCCATTGCGGACGTGCGCGATCACGGCTCTCCACGTTTTCATATCATCCTTTGCGTTAAATAGTATTTCTTTTCTGACTGTTCTAATCAGTTCCTGTCATGTTATCCCTTTACAAAAGCTCGTTAAGTACGATCTATCTATCTATCTATCTATCTATCTATCTATCTATCTATCTATGTTCAGTCTCCATCTGACCCTCTAGCTTTCTATATGCCCTGTGAGTGGCAAACTCGGCAAGCACTTTCTCCAATATGCATACCTGTAATTTCAACTGTTTCCTTCTGATTGTAAGTGTTCTCTCCGTTACTATTTCTCTTGGCTTACGGCCACATCACGTTGAGACACTGATTCCTGTCCAATCACCAAAGCTAAGCAACGTCGAGCCTGGTAAGTACCTAAATAGGTGCTGGAAATACTTGGATGTGCGTGAGGTGTAATTAATAATGGCTTGAAATTGTTAATCGGATAGTCGAGTTCCAGTTGGGTTCGTTCTATTCACTTACACGTAAATCCCCCTTGGGAAGGCTATGAATCTACCTCTTCTCCTCCAGCTATGGATTAATTAGTAAGACGTGTATCGCTAAACCATTATTATGTCAGAAGAAATTCTTACAATCCCTCTAATTCTTTCTGGCTTTAAATAAACTGCAAGATGCTGAGAGTGGTAGAAAGCGAATCAATAAATAAAATAATTTTCCTTCAAGTTTCCTCATTGCTCACATGTTCCATGTATAGTACCCTTTTATAATACAGTTTTGATTTTCCTTGTTAAAGACCGATATTGGTCAAAGAAGTATTTTATAAGAAAAGTAATTTATACAATTATAGAAAATACGACACCGATATCTGAACCCACATTGCAATAGCAAGAGAAAAGCCTTCCAAAAGATAAACGGAGTGATAAAAAACAGAAACCTTTCGTTAGGAAGAAAGAAAAAAGTGCTGAACTGTTATTCAATATCAATTCTGTGGCCGTGAATTCTGGATAATTTCCAAAGAGAGGAATTCAAACTGCTATCGTTCTACCAAAGGATGCTGAGAATATCTCAGATGGAGCGCGTAAGCAACGAAGAAATCTTAAGCATAATGAAAAAAAAAAATGCAAACATTAATACTTATGATGATGAAGACACAGCTGAAATTCCTCAGACACAAAAAGAAGAGGAAGGTTTGGAGGATTTGACACTGATAGGACATATCGAAGGCAAAATGGATAGCGGACTACCTAACCAAAATACCAAAGAATGATGATATGAATAGAAACTTCTACGAGTGCTAGAAATTAAAAATGGTACGGTGCTTTTGGGTCTTCAAATCATGCCGGTTAATAATTAGGTTATTTAATGCCAAATTTTGTATATGGCGTCCAGTGAGGAACGAATTCAGTACAGGCTAGTCTATCATCTACTTCAGTCCTCCATTCACACATCTACCATACCGATAGAGCAGACATTTCTCAATATATTAAGAAAAGTCTTTAAAAATATTAGTGCTGTCGGAAAGTACTTCCCACATCGCGTGATAAAATGAATAATAATAATGCTCCTCGTGGCTTCTGCTCTTGGAGGTAATAACATGCATATGTTTTGTTTTGTGGAATTAATATGGACTACGATAAATATCCCATTCAACAGCACAGATTTGTTTCTCAATTGCCTGAAATGAACCATTTGGCATGTTCATGAGTGGAAGCATCATGGCTTGGTCCCGTGAGAGTTGTTTCATTTGTTTGACAGATAACTCAACCAAGACGAGTTTGGAGTAACATTTAGATACTTGGGATTCACTCAAATGCAGAGCCTTTGATCATAATGCGCTGTGAGGCATGTGCCTTGTATACACCTATCAAAATTGTTGTCATGATCAGTTTATTGGAGTTCGTATATTTGTAACTACGTCATCGTTTGCCATATTGCACCATTACACATTACTAATAATAGTATTAATAATAATAATAATAATAATAATAATAATAATAATAATAATAATAACGTCATTTCTTACCTTAGGTCAGAAGGAAATGAATATACAACAGAAATCAAAGAAAATAATAATAATAATAATAATAATAATAATAATAATAATAATAATAATAAAAGTTGTCAAAGTACAAGGACCTTGAAATAGAAATCTCGAAAATGTGGCATATGGGAACATCAATAATCCCTGCTGTAGTTGGAGCCCTAGGACTGGTTGGAAAAGATTGCAGTAGACTAATTGAAGGGATTCCTGGAAGTCCATGCCTCAAAGAGATACAAAAAAAATTGTTCTGACAAGTACAGCCCACACTTTACGAAGGGATTTATCTATGTAATTTAATTTTTTTTTTTTTTTGTCAGTGGAAAGTGTCATGACGCCATGTCTAACCTTAGGTTCCTGGGCGGGACCCGGAAAGAAATGTGTAAACGCCAGAAATCAAAGAAAATAATAATAATAATAATAATAATAATAATAATAATAATAATAATAATAATAATCAGTACCATCTGAGCGAAACACTTCCATGAAAATTATCGAGAAATTGTCCAAATACAAGGACCGGGAGATCGAGATTAACAGGATGTGGGGAATGAAGATTGAGACGGTACCAATAGTAACCGGAGACCTGGGCATCGTGAGAAAAGGAATGAACAATTTTACTAATAGCGTCTCAGGTAACATCAACATACAAGCTGTCCAGAAAATCGTCCTGTTAGAACATCCCATATACTAAGAAAAGTACTATCAGTTAAATGACAATTCTCCTATAAGGCCTAAAGAGCATAGTTTGGCTATGGATCTACTAGATACAAAGCAGGAAATATAACATACACAAATAATAATAATAATAATAATAATAATAATAATAATAATAATAATAATAATAAATCTGCAACACCAGATATGTCTCACATTGCTCCAGGCCTTAAATGTTTGTAGGTGTTAACATGCGCATATTTTGTCTTGTTGAATTCAGGTGGGCTACAGTAAATACTCTGCCTACTTCTACAGACTTGCCTGTCAGTTAGGCCTACGCCATAGGAGCTGCGATGTCTGCACCTGGTAAGTCCTTATCAGATTGGGTTTCATGAAGGGTATATTGGGCTTTGCATATTTGTACACCAACAATAATAATAATAATAATAATAATAATAATAATAAGAAGAAGAAGAAGAAGAAGAAGAAGAAGGTGGTAACAGTGAAAGAAAGAAAGAAAGGAACGAGGCAAAGAAGCAATTTTAAAATAAGAAAAAAGAAGTAGACGAAGAAGAAAGGGATAAGAGAATGAATGAACATTAGAAGAAAGAAAAAAGAAGGAAAGAAAGAAAGAAGAAGATGAGAGAAAGAAGTAATTTTAAAAGAAGGAGGAGCAAAAGAAGAAAAAGAAAAGAAGTTATCCCTCCTCTCAGAAGTGAATGCTGTAAGATATTTTTTTCTGAGACAAGATAGGATAGTAATTGTTATCCATAAGAAATTGGGAAAATGACTGAGACTCGATTAATAAAAAAAATAAGGTGGGGGGTTTCAATATCAACAGAAACAAAACATTAAATTCCCAAGGTATTTTTTAAACAAAATTATATAATTCAAACAAAAAACCAGATCTATTTAACATCAACAAATAAATATTTGCGAAATAACTGATGTACATGGCCCTGTAGATCACAGTGTGAAATGCTTGAGGAATACCAGAATCTTGACACTCTGTAAAAAAAAAACTTTGAAATATGAAAATGATAACTCTAGTTAAGAAATAATTGAGGCCCACCTAGAAAACATTGGAAGAATCGTAAATCCGAGGAAAGAAAATTAAACTGATGGGAAAACAGTATATTGAAATTGGTAACGGGTTTGAGGAGACTTGCTGTCAGTTGATCCCGTTTAGTGCCACTAAATACTGGTGTGAAAATTCTTTAATAAAAAAAAGTCATCATTGGTGGATGGGGGGTGCATAGAATGATGAAATAGAAAAATTCGAAAGCGTTCATTTAAAAATAAAACAACAAAAAGTTAAGAAGAAGTAAATGAAATAAAATAACTAAGAAAAGGTAAAGAACATTTTTTTTGTAAATAAAACCCTAAAGAAAGAAAGAAAGAAAGAAAGAAAGAAAGAAGGATCTGTGAGAACTGGAAATGAAATAAAAAAATACAAATTAAAAAAAATCATGAAATGAAAATAAAATTAAATAAAAAATCAATCAGGGCAGAAAGAAAAAGAGCGCTTCGATTGAATAAAGTCGCTTTTGTTTTACGTTCTGCGTAAAGAAACCTTTTTTTTTTTTTTTTTTTTTTTTTTTTTCGAAGATCCCGCATAAATTGTGTGAATAGCAAGCCTGCCACACTGGATAGGCGACCAATTCATCAGACTGATCGACCGCATTTTTTTTTCTTTCTCTTTCCTCCATTTTTTATTTGCTTGATATTTGAGGGGGTTTTTTTATTCGTATTATTTATTTATTAACTTTTTAATTTATTTATTTTATTTATATTTGATTTTATTTATTCATTTTATTTTTTAACAAAGTGCGGGAGAATAAAACGAAGGATTAGAGAGAGTGAGAGAGAGAGAGAGAGAGAGAGACGGGAGTCTACATGAAGTGTAGTCTTTTGAAATTGAAAATGTTGACTTCTTTAACAATGGAAACTAGCTTCTACGTTTCAACTAATTAAAGGATGTCCAAGTCCCACTCGAAGGAAGTAAAACACTTCGACCAGAAGTATTTAATTCGGGAAATATCAAACTGCAGATTAAAAAAGAACGAAAAAGAAGAGAGTCTGACTAGAAGTAAAAGTAAATGGCAGATCAATGACAATAAAAAGAGTGTTAAGTGCGAAGGAGGCTTTCTCACCAAAAAGTAGATGAACTAAAAGATTTAGTAATACTAGTTATGGCGATTTGAGGAAGAGTAGTGAAAGTCAATACGTATCACCGATCGAAGATAGATATGGAAAAGAAAGAAAGAAAGAAAGAAAAAAATAGAATAACTGGGACAGATAGATAGATAGATAGATAGATAGATAGATAGATAGATAGATAGATAAGCGACTGGGATAGCTAGATAGATAGATAGATAGAAAGAGAGAGAAAAGACTGAGATCGATCGATAGATAGATAGATAGATAGATAGAAAGAGGGAGAAAAGACTGAGATCGATCGATAGATAGCTAGATAGATAGAAAGAGAGAGAAAAGACAGATCGATCGTTAGATAGCTAGATAGATAGATAGATAGATAGAAAGAGAGAGAAAAGACTGAGATCGATCGATAGATAGATAGATAGATAGAAAGATAGATAGATAGATAGATAGATAGAAAGAGAGAGAAAAGACTGAGATAGATAGATAGATAGATAGATAGATAGATAGATAGATAGATAGATAGATAGAGAAAAGACTGAGATAGATAGATAGATAGATAGATAGATAGATAGATAGATAGATAGATAGATAGATAGATAGATAGATAGAAAGAGAGAGAAAAGACTGAGATAGATAGATAGATAGATAGAAAGAGAGAGAAAAGACTGAGATAGATAGATAGATAGATAGATAGATAGATAGATAGATAGATAGATAGATAGATAGATACATACATACATACATACATACATACATGCTTACAGCGTAAAATCGAAGGTCATAAACAGACTAAAATATCTAACAAACTGAATTCACAATTTTTGAAATGAGGAAATATTTCTATTTTAACCAGCATACATCACTTGGATGTTATATAAAAAAAAAATCTTCAGCGGTTTTACCTTACGGCCTTCATTAAATGCTTGTCCTACGCCCTAACCTTCTCGGAATTTTGAAGTTCTTCATTCACTTTGTACAGCCCACGTGCTTATAATGGTCTCATCCCGTCTTTCATGCCAAAAGAATATCTTGAGTCAGTAAATTTACTCCATGTCTGTTTTTTTTTTGTTATTTTTTTTTTTTTTGAGTGTGTAAAAGCGGAGTATATGAATTTTCTGCACTACCCGGCCTCGGTATTGAACTGTCAGTAAATCGTGTTTTTTACCAACGTTCTAAGGAATTTACGTATTGCAAATGGTCAAAAACCACTGAAAAAAATGAAGAAGTTAAAGAGGGTGACAGAATTTGCATTTCATTGAGAATGCAATTCCAAGCTATTCTTAAAGGGTTAATATATTCAGGTCAGTAGGTTCAAAATGACAAAAATATTTCCATTTTTTTTTTTTTTAATTTTTACCAAAACGAAAGGATTTACGAAACTGAAACCTGAAAATTTATTTACAAGACACTTAGAATTACTTTAGCTGTTGAACGAAAACAACTCTCGGTGCTACTGTGATATCCGTCCAAGATGAATAAAGGTCACTACTTCCTCAAAGGACGCATATCCATGAAATAGTGACGGAAGTCAAACTTAAAATTCAAATGTTTTCAATTTGGAACTAGATATTAAAAAATGAAAATTAAATTCACAAGTTTCATAAATTTCATAATTACAGGGTTTTTTTATCCTAACCATACAAATATGGAATATAACAGATTCTAAATAAAATTCACCCCATGGTAGGCAGTAAAGCCACTAAGACGCAAAAGGTTACTGGGTGTGAAAGAATTAGAAAACAGGATCATTAATAAGGAGTGAGAACTATAGAAGAGTAATCAGGAAGACAGTAGATAACGACTGACATTTCATTTAAATTTTTGAAATTCAATGTTGGCTGGAAAGCCTGAAGCCGGAAGAGCGTTCCACAAGCGAGGCGTGCGAGAAAAGAAACTGTTAGTATCGGAGGTACCATACCGAAAAGTCCAAGAAGGAGCAATAAGTCACTCTCCTTGAGGTTAGCACCAGTTATGCTGATGGAAGGTAAAAAGAGTTCACTTAGATGATTGCAGTTTCATTTTTGAGGCGTTAAAATTAACAAACCATTCCTTGCCCCATTTAATAACAGACTCAAGGTCATTTTTGAGATCAGCTACCGATTTGACCTTACCGACCCGAACAGACTTAAGACAAGTATATGTGTCTGTTTTTTTTTTTATAAAATCAAATTGTCAGGCCGATAGACAATTTTCTGTTTATCAAGATCATGTCTGATATTAACCTCCAGGAGAGAGACACGTTGCGTCTTCTCAGGCTAACGTTCTCAACTGACATTATCATATTGAAACTATTGCTATGTCTGCTGCTAAGAAAATCGGTTCATTGTATAGTGCTAGACAATTTTTCTATCAAGAATTTATCTCTAAGTCTACCATTCACCCATGCTTCAAATATTGCTGCCACTTATGACCTGGTGGTCCTGCTATATATTTAGAAATACTTGATAAAATTCAAAAATCAGCAATATTATTGGTCCTGACATGGCGTCTCGGCTTCAGTCACTTTCCCACCAGCCGACGTAAAGTTGCATCCCTGTGCCTTTTATATAATATTTTCATGTTAATCGTTTTGGGGTACTTTCCAGTATGGTACCTAGATTTTATGAATTTAAGCGCAGTACTAGAGATCTCATCATTTTACAGAGGAATGGCTAGATGTAACCGTAAGTTCTATGATAACAGTTTCTTCTAGTGCACTTCTCGCTTGTGGAACTCTCTACGGGCATCTTGCTTCCCATTCAACTTTGATCTTCAAAGATCAAATGCAATGTCAATCGTTATATTCTGTTTTCTTAATTCTTATTATTTTATTTATTTCTCTCCTTAATAGTAGTTTTTTTTTTATATTTTCTAACAGTCAATAACCGCTTGCATTCCAGTGGCTTTATTGCCTTGCTTGAGGCGAAATGTAAAAAAAAAAATACCAACTTAAATATCATATTCCTCTTGATGGAAACAAAGAAGTGCTTTCAATATATTTCCATTTGGACTATTATCTCCATCAGTTTTGTTATTATTACAACGTTTAAGCCGTTATACGCACCTGTTTGTTTGTCTGTTTTTGTTTTTGTTTTTGTTTTTTTTGTTTTTTTTTGTTGTTTTTAAGTATCCATCGTTCCGTGTAACCGCCAAGGAAAATCGAACGGAAAACTTTATTTAATTTATGGGGATTCGCAGTTATTATTCTCTGTCTTTCACCACTTAGCCTAACCCTATGTCAGCTAACCCAGGGATTGAACTCGCAATTATTATAACACCAAATTTAAGAAATCAACTTTTTTTAATACACTAGACCATTGTCCCACACGGGCAATAATGAGCAGTATTTAACAAGAGGAGATATTCCGGGACATGGAAAACGGACCGAGAAATGTCCATTTCTTCTTCCCAGATATTCAAGCAACAAGTTTCAAAATTTCAGATTTGTGTGCCTTGGAATTTCAAGAGGAAGAAGTCGGTTCGTTCGTGTTCTTTTAAAATCTCCGATACCTGCAAAATAGGAACGCTAAGAATAAGGTACGTACAAGCAACGCTTGCATTAATTCCTGGACACTAACTATCCTTTTTTTCAGATTTGCAATTCATAACATACAGAATAAAGTCTCGACACTTCGACGTGGTGCAATGGTTAAAAAACTTGTCTCGCTAGATCAATTACAATTGAATAGCAAGTTCGAATCTCACAGGGTGCCCCATTCTTTCGTCTTTGAACCACATCTATACTTCAATTAGAACATCACTACACAAAATAATGTCTGAAACATGTTAAAATCTATTTAAAACCTAAATTGTAAAATTCGTTGTTTCGAGATTCAATTTTCCCTACCGACACAAATATTCAGATACAGTGTAACCCGGATATAAGAGAGTTGTCGGAATCGGAGAAGTCTCTTATATCCGGGTTTCTCTTATATCCGGGTTTGGTCTATTTTGTTTAGGTAAGTATGGGCTCTAATTTGGGACCAGAGAAAATTTCTCTTATATCCGGGTTTCTCTTATATCCGGGTCTCTTATATCCGGGTTACACTGTATCAGTGAAACGAAACAGAAAATGAAAGCCGATTTCAAATCCCGTCCTCGTTCGTTGTGTTTATTTTACACGTATAATTTTGATAAAAGCATAAATCGTACCTCTCTAGACTGGGCGCTAGCTAGACAACTCAAAATATCTCATAGGCAAGGGCAGCTATGAATTTAAAAAAAAAAACATTTGAGTAGAATCTTCGTTATTGCTAAACAGTTTTTATTTCATCTACCGGCCTGCGTAGTCGAGGTAAATTAAAGAAAATGTAACTTCCTGCAGGATTCAAATATGCGTACCCCTTTTCAGAAGGTACCTCTATCTGACCCAGCCGGTTTTGACCGCTCACCCACTAAGAACTTTATAATTAAGCAAGATTATATTTTCTGGAAAAGCACATCTGCTCTGTTTTGTATCCGAAACGTAAGCAAAGAATTAATGCTTTTAAAAAAAAAAAAAATATTTTTCTTACTTTAAAGGTTATTTTTGAGGATTCCCGTATTTGAATAAATGTTATGTTTATTTTTAAGCAGTTTATAAATAAACGGAGAATTTACTCAAATACGAATATCCAAAAAAGTAACGTTTGAAGTAGAAAATATATGTTGGATTACTCAACAAAACCCATTAATTCTTTAAAACACACACACACACACACACACACACACACACACACACATATATATATATATATATATATATATATATATATATATATATATATATCTTTCTCCAAGACTAGTTGCCATCCAAGGCTATAGAACCCAGTCTATTCTGCTATTTATCCATAGCTAGAGGGAGAGGAAAATGATTAACACCTTTCCCAAGGGTATTAGCATGTAAGTGAATGTAATGTATTCGACTGAAATTCCAACTCAGCTCTCCGATTCCTCAATCCAAGCCGCTATCCACTACTCCACCTAGCCTCCAATATATATATATATATATATATATATATATATATATATATATATATATATATATATATGTGTGTGTGTGTGTGTGTGTGTGTGTGTGTGTGTGTGTGTGATTTTTTGAAGACATTATTTTGAAGCTAATTCGACTAAAGTAAATGTATATATAGTTTGGTCATTTGCGTATCTAGAGCCAGCAGTACAGTAATTTTATATATCGTGTATAATGCAACCCCCTTAAAAGTGGCTTCAAAATTAGATCTTCAAAATCTCATGGCACGCGAAGATATACGTTATATGTTTCTGTGTGTGTGTATACGCGCGTGCGTGTGTGTGTGTTCGAAATACAAACCAAGATAAGATGTTGTTATAAACAATTTTAAAAATCTTGGTATTAATGTTGACGACTGAGAAATGTTAAGAGAAAATCGTCATGTGTAGATGGAAATGGTAAACGATGTTTGCAAAGAGTTCCTGGCAAAGTCTGTTGATTGTGAAATCTTAAAATGGGCTCTTAGAAATCCTGACATTATTTCAATCCCAGATAAGATTTTATAGCAAATAAATAAAATACGATAAAATCTGAAATATTATTTTATTTAATAGCCCATAGAATTTACAGTCCCGAATATATACTTAATAAAGAATACATTGGCAATATTTTTAAATTATCCACTATGAAATTTATTTCATATTCAATGTTAAAATAAAGCGTACATAATTCACAAAAAAGAAAAAAAAAACAACTTATAATCGATAACACAAAAACTTGGGACTTTGTGTTACGTACAAACTCCACAATTCATGAAGCTG